TTTCGATAGGCAAGCTAACGGACTTTACTCAAACGTGTGTAATGTGATGTTGTATTGTTACGTGACATGGGCACACTAGCTATGAAAATGCATTTCTACCGATTTCGTCGATTCTTACATTTTACGGGAACATTTCTGCCCCTATGGCACGTAGCAACACGGGACGAGCCGTCTGCGACAGACCACTGAGCGGGCAATCCCAATGTGTAATCGTGTGCGGTGGCACGTTCCACGTGTTGAACACACCAGCCAGCAAAATGCATTTTGCTCTCTTCTACGGGTTTGCATGTTTTCAGTGAGCTAGAATTGCTTTTGAACTAGGGTGGGATGTGAAAAATTGCATCGCAAAAAGACAGTCCGGGAGTGAAAAATTCAAGTTACAAAAGATGGAATTATGAGCTAGTGACTGATGCTTCAGCAAACAAGACATCTATTTCAAGTGGCATGGACATAATTCATATACTGACAAAACTCTTTTGTTTTTTCCCATCCTAGGCCATTAAAGTGAAACAGAATAAGTAAAGCATAGCAACTCATGACAGTGTAATGAGCATACAAAGTTCAGTAACACTAATTAGCTGATGCTGCACTTTGCACTTTCCATCCACAGCATTTAAAAAAAAACGAAGCAAAGGAATTCAACAACCAAATGACAACAGAAAATTCGAACAAGCATAAAGCACTCAAACAAAAACAACCTGTACTCCCACACATCTGCCCATCACCAAGTCAAACACAATACACATACCTCTGGCTTCTATTCGATGGGGTCAATGAAAACAGACATTTTGTGAATGCTTTTTACAAGATACCAATGCTTATTCCATGAAAGTAGCCTAACTATGCCTATCCTGAAGAGGCCTTACATCATCTCATCCTGTCTAACCTGTTGGTATCACAGCAGTTGTGTGTTACTGATTCCTGCACAAGCCCTATTGTCATTTGCCATGTACTTAACCAACTTAACCTAACTTAGAGTAGCCCGCATGTTGAACATCATCTTAACTCACCTATCTGTTGACAGCAGCACGTATGATTAAAATATGATAAAGCTCATTTTTTGGCTGGTTCTAACTAACATTTTGATTTAGTTCATTTGTGCATGCTTGTTGACATCAGACAAGTCAACAACACACAAATGAGAACACTTTAAATCACTTTGAACCACTTTATTCTGATTGCCATGGTTAATCTCTGTCACGGGCAATCATGGGTACGCTTCACAACATCGCTCTTCTCCAAAAGTAACATAACTTAGATGACTATGCCAGTTTGTTACTTCCCTTTCAGCAGCAGCACAGGCATGTATTTACACTTGTTTATTCATATTTAATGACATAGTTTGAGATGTTGGCTTCACATTTTAAATGGAGTGGTCTGACTGTTTAGTTAATGCTTATATTTACCTCAAATTTAATTGCTATCCAGCTTGAGTATCCCATTGCTAAAAAATAGTGCATATATACAATACGATCATTTGCCAGTCAGCAAACCATGACAACTATGGAAAACACCTGGTTAAAGCAACCTTGAGGGACCACTTCAAGAAATTGGGAGCAAATAATCAAGACTATGGAACAAAATAAGACCATTGCATGCCTTGTGGCATCATAATTTGTCTTATGACAAGACCCGATGGATTAAAACAGTGAATGGCTAATCTGGTTACAAATCATGTGATGAAAGCAGGTAAGGTAAACAATTACTTGGTCCACAGGACACCTACTAGATTTTCAGGGCACACTTTTTTCTGCTCCCCCAAAACAAAAATGTAAGTACCACGGTTTGCACAGTTTGCTGACAGACAGAGTCATCCAACTCACCCCCGAAATGTAAATATCAATCGCGTCCACCAGCCTACGAGATTAAAATGCGAAACACGTAAGAGGTTGTGCATGATTAACACTTCAGGAGGGATGAATTTCGCCATCAAAAACTTCTGTATTAGCTGCGTCAAGTCTGTCCCAAGGCTCTATGTGACAGCATAAGGATAGCCTTGTCAGGTAGCATGGTGAGTTAGACACTCGAAAGGCTTAGATTTATCATTATCGAGCACTGCTATGAACCAAAAAATGGCTAACGGAGGTTTAACAGGGCAAAAATGGCAGTGAAATTAAGTTCCGTGCTTCAAATTCTCTCCTTCATTCCTTGTGAATTGTGCACTCTTGGGTGCATTTTGCAGTTGGAGCATCTTGCAGATAAATTGTTCAACATTTTAAGCAACAGATGGTACCTCACGGTACACGGTAGCAATGAAAAGGGAAGGAAGAAAAAAGTGGTATCACACTCGTATGATACCAAGAAAAACAAAAGTAGTTCAATAAAAACAGACCGATACTTTTGTGAAAAAATTGGTAACCAGCTGATTTGACTTTAAATCTGCTGGAGGAAGTGCTTAAATGGTGATATTCATCTGGTAAATGTTATTTAGAGGACATTTCTTGAATTGTTCACTCCCGCATTTCGGGAGTGATGCAATTTATGGTCAAGTCTCTTCGGGTGAAAGGAATCGTGGACCGAAATTCTCTACCAGGTCTCGCTGGTGTTTGCACCAGGCTCTGCTTTCGTGTGTGGTGGTGAGACAAAAAAATGGGGATGCTGAAAACCTTGCATTTGGCACCTGCTGCCGATTGTCATGCATTTTGTAAACAAACTAAAACTTAATGCGTGAAGCGGCTTGAATCGCTGGGAGGATGGGGGTGGGTCATGGGCTTGAAGTACCTTGAGCCTTGCTGTGCATACATAGA